GACAGGCCGACCTGAAGAACCAGAGGTCCTCTGCATCTCCTCCTGTTTGACATCTGGAAGCTATGTTCATGTAGCAACTTCAGCCACTGGCCAAGTCTCACATGGCATCCTCAGCCAACACAGCAAAAACCAACCAAGAAAAGAACAGCGATCCCATCCCACTGATGTTTCAACCCCTAAAAATATATATTTGGTGCTGGGAAAGTTAATAGGTTAAGGGAAGGATGCTCATTAAGACAGAGGGGAGCAGAGGTGAAACATCTCCCTGCAGGGATGGGTGGTGAGAGAAATGGAATTCAAGTCAGGGAGTGAGCTCAGCCTGAAACTCAATTTGGAGGGCTCCTTTTAATTACCGCCCCTACTTACATCATAATTGGCCTGTAATTGGGCTGTTATTTTGAATGATATTTCCTTTTATGCATAGTAATTAGTGGTTGACTTAATTTGCTTTAAAAGTTAACCCCATCAAACCTGTGTCATTGCCATAGCTAATGTTTATTGCATTTGCAACTGCGCCTCGATCAGCGGTCATGCGTCGACCTGAAGTACGTTTTACTCTGGCATTGAAAAGCAGTGAACAAGACTTTGAACAGAAAGTACAGTCATGGCCAAAAATATTGGCACCCCTGCATTTATATCAGAAAATGCACCACTTCTCCCAGAAAGTTGTTGAAATTACAATTGCTTTGGTATTGTCATATTAATTTCTCTTGTTGGCACTTGAAGACCACAAAAAAAACTAATCTGAGACATTACACACAATATGTCAAAAATGGCCTGGACAAAATTATTGGCACGCTCAACTTGGTAGCAAACCGTAAAATCAGAAATAACTGATTTTAATCACTTTCTGTAACAATCAATGAGTCTTTTACATCTCTCTACTGGAATTTTGGATCACTGTTCCTTTGCAGCTGCTCCAGTTCTCTCAGATTTGAAGGGTTCCTTCTCCCAGCTGCTGTCCTTGGATCTCTCAACAGGTGCTCTATGGGATTCAGATCTGGACTCATTGCTGGCCACTTCAGAACTCTACAGGGTCTTAAACCATTTCTGGGTGCTTTTTAAAGTTTGCTTTGGGGTCATTGTCCTGCTGTAAGACCCATGACCTCCGGCTGAGGCCCAGCTTTTTCACACTGGGCCCTACATTGCGCCCCAGAATTCTTGGGGTAGTCTTCAGATTCCATAATACCATGCAAACAGTCAAGACTACCAGTGCCTGAAGCAGCAAAGTAACCCCAGAACATCAGTGAACCTCCTCCATGTTTGAGTGTAGGGACCGTGTTCTTTTCTTTGAAGGCTTCTTTTTGTTTTCGGTAAACAGTAGAATGATGTGCGTTACCGAAAAGCTCTATTTTTGTCTCATCTGTCCAGAGGACGGTCTCCCAGAAGGATTGTGACTTCCACAGGTACGTTTTAGTAAACTCCAATCTGGCTATTTTATGTCTCTGTATCGGGAGTGGGGTCCTCCTGGGTTTCCTGCCATAGCGTCCCGTTTCATTCAGATGGCGCTGGATAGTGCCAGTTGACACTGTTGTACCCTGTGCCTGCAGGTTTGGAAGTTGATTGAGGTAGTTTATCCACCATCGAACAATTCTTTCATTGTAACATTTAATCGATCTTTGTCTTTCGTCCACGTACAGAGAGAGAGGCTACAGTGCCATGGGCTGTAAAATTCTTTACAATGTTGCGCAGAGTGGACACAAGACCATTAAGATCTCTAGAGATGGACTTGTACCCTTGGGATTGCCCATGCTTTTCTATAAGTTTGGTTCTCAAATCCTCAGACAATTCTTTGCACTTCATTCTTTTCTCCATGCTCAGTGTAGTATACACAGACGCTCAAAAACAAGATTGAGTCAACATTTCTCCATTTTAACTGGTTGCGAGTGGGAATTTCCATATTGCCAGCACCTGTTAATTGCTACAGGTGAGTTGGAAGGAGCATGACATGCTTGAAATACAATTATTTCTTACAATTCTTTTTCGGTGCCAGTAATTTTGTCCTGTCTATTGTTGATGTTTTGTGTGTAATGTCTCAGATTCATTTTTTTCCTCTGATTTTTTGTGGTCTTCCAGTGCCAACAAGAGAAATAAATATGACAATACCAAAGCATTTGTAATTGCAACAATTTTGTGAGAGAAGTTTTCTGACATAAATGCAGAGGTGCCTATATTTTTGGCCATGACTGTATATGATATTCAGATTTTTTTTGTCATGCATCAGTAAAATTTATAAAGTAGTTTACCTATATCGTTTCCTAATACTCAGGCTGATTATTCTGAATTACACAGAGCAGAAGGACTTTTCTGTATGTGCACTGTGATTTTGTCCACGGTGATGGTTTATTTTTATTATATTTTGTCTTATATTTCTTGGATCTATACTCTAAAGGAAACTATATGCATAACAATTAAAAAAAATGGATAATATATCTACAATCAGGATATGATTAATGTGCTGGTTGCAAGATTCAAACTCACAACCTTCTGGGCAGGAGCACAGACGCTAAAACAGCTCAGCTAAACACCACCCAGTTGTAGTTTCATAATGCAGAGTATTTTAGCCCGGTTCTCGGGGCCCCCCAGACAGCCCATGTTTTTCTGGGACTCTGTGTGTCTGGGACTCTGCGTGTCTGGGACTCCCTCAGAACCAGGTTAGGAAACACAGCCTTAATGTTTAATTAAATGCACTATGAGAAGGATCTGAATGGGGAAAACCCGCTCTGTCATTAAGAAAATTAAGTTTTTAAATAATCCCCCCAAAGTAGATTGTAATTCTTCCTTAATACGGTCATTTGTAATCAGAGCTGCTTTACAATCTGCCATAACAGGATTGACAGACAGTTCTCCTCATATTGTTGGACAGGAGAAGAGTCTGTGGGAGAGGAGATATTTGCCTTAAGCTCTTCTGCGGCAGAAGTTACTACAGACCCAGAATTTATCTCATCCAGGGGAGAGATAAACCTACCTTGTCAGGCCTGGCTTCAGACCGTAAACGTGCTTTATTTGCTGACCACGGTATTTTATTTTATTTTTATTTTATGTCTGTTATCTGCAACGACGAACATAGGACACGTTGGTAATGTGATCAGGCTATACAGCACTGTTTGGATATTTACCTTCTGCTGCATGAAGCTGTGCACTGGCATCACAGATCCAGGGCTTTGGCTTTGACCCGCGGCTTGACCCGCAGCTCCTCTGTGGGCTGCGTGGTGCTCCGCTTCTGGCATCTGTAAATGAGCCTTAGCTAGTGATGGAAATTTTAATCAATATCGATAACTGATGCATTTTTTTGTAATATCATTGATACCAATAACCGGCTCCGAGCCCGGGATCGTCCAATGCAATCATCTCCATTATTTCAGTAGTTGTGTCTTTATCTCTGGTGCTGCTAAGTTGCAATATTGGCAAAGATTGATGATTGGACAGATGATGATGATATATTTTTAACAATACATTGGTCGATGCTAATATATTTTTTAGCAGTACAGTACATTGGCCAATGATGATATATTACCTAATGATGCATCTCTACCCTTAGTGTCTGTGCCTGCTGGGATAGTCTCGAACCTTGTTCTGCGCCCTGCATTTCTGTTGGTGAATTTCTGCGTGTTGCTGAAATAATTGAATGGAGGTGCCAGGACTCCACTCTCTCCCTCTTTGCTCCCTGCCCTCCGTACCACCCTGCCCTCCGTACCACCCTGCTCTATTGGAAATGTTTTCTCTGTTGAGAGGGAGCAAATTCCATTTGTGGCCTCGTGCTCTGGGAGCAGCGCCGCCGAAGGAAATGTGCATTAACGATACAACGCAATTTATCAATATGTCACAAAGGGTGAAGAAAACACATAAGCACTTTGAAACACAAATCGAATGCCGTTTCTTTTTAGATGTTTTATTTTCATTTTTATGAAAATACTGACCAAAAGTAAAGGTAGATTTTGTTTATTCAATTCCCCCATTCTCTCAGAGGTAAGGCAGGTCTCTTAACTTTGCTTTTATTTTGACAGTGTTATGTAAAGTGCAAAGTGTGGATGGTGTTCACGTAATAATGATCCTGATGGAAACGAGGGCGCAAGGTTTTTGTTCCCCCTGAGTTCAGCTCCGTCCCCTGAACAGCCGGAGAGGCGGGTCGAGGCTCACTTTATCATGAGCAACTGGGATTACAAACCCAGTGGCAGACGGGCTCTGTTAACGCCCCTGGAGCCCCGGGGGCTCTGGACTCATCTTGCTGAAATATAAACTGTGAGACGTGCCAGAAGAAATATTTAACAGACAGAGGTGCCGTGTGAGTCGTGGAAAGGCCCTGGTGATGTAACCCACAATGGAGCGCCGTGACCAAGCCGCCACTGTGCTCCAGAAGTGTAGCATTATGGGATGGAGTGTCTCGTGTGTGGTGGTGCAGCGGTTAGCGGTCTGAAGCGGGGGTCGTACTAAGGTTAGTGGATACCAGAGGCTTAGCCCAAAAATAGCCACGTAGCATCACACAATGACGGTGATGGTCGAAGTGATTTAAAAGAAAAGAAAAAAAAATCAAGGCTTTGCTAAAACATTAAGGTCCTGAGCTTTGTAAGCTGCACCCCCCCGTCCCGCCGCCCTCCACCAACCTAGGGCCCAAAAGCATCCAACATGCACGATTTTTGTAGCGAAGCAGACTGATTATTAGGCCCGATGGCAAAGATGAATGAACTCAATCATCCCAGCGAAGACCCTGGTTTTGGAAGACCTGAAGAACCAGGAAGAATGTGGTAACACTTTAATTAAGGCCGTGTTTTTAGTGATTTATAAACACATTCATTATATGAATGCATTATAATGCATTATAAATATGTTTAGAAATTATTAAAAACATGGCCTTAAGTATAGTGTTACCAAGAATGTTCTCAAGAAGGGCAGACCATATTGTTCACAAGGTCTTACTGCACATATAAAATGATACACGGATAGGACATGAGTATCCGTTGGAGTAATAATATTGGAGTAGTAATATTGGAGTAGTAATATTGGAGTAATAATATGCAGCCTTTATTGAAACAGACTGTTAGGTGTACAGAAGCAGAGGGATCTGGGCATGCTCTCTCGCAGGCTCTGGATTCTAGTCATAGACACCTTTGGGAGCAATTGACGTCATACACTGGAGTGGTTAATTAAGCAGCACTGATGAAGATCTCATATGCAGCCATCCAAGTCCAATCCAAGATGTCTGACCCAACTGTTTTGAAAAGGAATAAAACTTTCCACGCAACAGGACGCCTGTGCTGTTGTTTGATGTCTTGACCTGAGTCCCTTGTCTTGGGACTGGAGTATTTCATCTGCACTCAAGAAGGGTGGCACTAAAGAGATCCTATGTGATGTAACTGCTTCAAGTAAGACCACTGGATGGGGATGGATGCACTGGCAGATTCAGGGGTCCTAGCACTTCACAGGGGCCCCAAAAGCCACCATGGGGAAAGCCTACCGGCCTAATCAACCCAAAAACCTACCCAGGCAAATTATATATATGTGGGATACACATCGCTTCAAATTCAAAGTGTCCACCTGAGTAAGCAGGCGAAGGCGTCAGTCTGTCAGAGGGTCCAGAGATTCTAGCTACGCCCCTGGGTAGAAGTTTGGCGGCTGGATCCATTTGGCGCATGAAGATCTTTGAGGCATCCCATTCACTCCTGTTCACCGCTGCATCCCTGGGAGCCGGCGGTAAAATAGCGATGGCCAAGGTGGGCTTGGGCCTCGGGCCCGGAACCCACAAGGTCCTCCCACTGGAACGGTCAATTCGGAGTGGCCCGTAGATGCAGGGATGGGGGGAGCTAAGTCTGTCCAGCACTGGGCAGAAGAACAGGGTGGGTGTTAATGGAATATACCGGAAAAATCATTTGATGTCACTGTTACAGTCATGGAGATGGTATCTGTCTCTGCTGCCCCAGGCGGATTCCCCAGGTCATAGTTCACATACTTAGTGGGACTCGATTGTACTGGCATCCCTGGCTTTACCTCAAAATTATTTAGGCTTCAATGACTTGTGTCTCCATCAGTCTTAAGTTCAAATAGGCAAATAAAACAAGAATGCAGTACACAAAAAGAAAAAACACACATGAAGTAATTGATTTCTTGGATGTTATTTATTTAAGTTTTATCTGCATATCTTCCAAAATAAAAATTCAAAATAAGTTTTCTGGAAACAGATGGCAAGATGAAAGCGTGATGGGAGGTATCCTTAGAACGTACGACATTTGGGATGGGAATTTGAGCATCTCTGTTTCCAAGTAACAGGAAATGATCCAGGCTGTCATAATTAATGGACAGATGCATAAGACCGACTTGAAATGAACTTTCCGCCCCTAATTCACTTTCCGCACAGAGATTGATTCCCTGCTCCTTGCGCCGTGCGTGGGACTTATCGGATTTACCTTCTGGATGTACGCGTCGCACGGACAATGCTCAGATTGTGAGACTGCTTGTGGCTGCAGCTTACGGTACTTTCTCTCCGTCACGTGACTTAGAAATACATCTGTGTTGAAGCTCCAGGCGCCTGGCCATGATGAAAATGATTTTCTTGTCAGTGAGGCATTGTTTTAATTTATGGGATGTCCTTTCGCTGGTGGCAGGTTTGAAATAATTACACAGCTGTAATACAGGTTTCTAAAACACATTTTTAGTTAACTTGAAGATGTTTATCCTCTCAGCTTTCCAAACGAAATGAGTTACTGTGAGTGAAAACTTCAATGACACTGCATTCAGTCTACTAACGACAAGGACCATAGCGACAATGGTGGGATGCTACATATTGCTGCCATTTATTTTTTTTAAAAATAATTATAGTATAACTGCAAATATAACTGACAGTATCAGGTGATTTTTCCTCCTAAGACGCTTTGATGCCTGTCGCCTCTGACTCGCCCTTTCAACGTGACAGCTGGCCGTTTTTTGTTATTTAGCTTTGTCACTTAGCCTGAGCCGCGCTAACCTCTGACCTCCGGTTTAAGGTCAGATGTTCTGGGGAAGTCTGCCACGAGGTGGTCAGAGTCTCACATTGCCTGTCCGTGACCTTTGAACCATGCCTCTGTTACTTCCTGTTTCAGAAAAGTTTTATAAACACATGAAATATGATGGCTCAGACGGACAACTGATCAGATTTGGTTTTAACGGCTTGTTTTTCCCGCACAGACGAATTCGGGTGCACATGCAAACGATCTTTTATATCTGTTATAATTACTGTTCATTTAGCTAACACAGCAATGCCTACTATACATTTTTGCGAACCGACGATATTTGCACTGTGGCCATTAGCGGTGGAGTTTGTGGGCGTGTTGTTTCGTAATGTTTCAGCCTGTAATGGATATTTGATAAACAATAATTAAAAGGTGTTCTCTGTGTCGTTTTGCTGCCCTGTCGTCTATTAACAGATGGGCAATTGCTGGGCTCGTTATACTTTGTTTACCTACAGTAGCAACCGAATATTAACAATCTTACTTCTACCGTATTAAAAATCAGCTTTTGAAACCATGGGATGGGATGTGCTGCTATTCTGTTACGAATTTATCCTCCTGCACAGGTCCAGTTGTGGGAAGCCATGAGTTATCTAAGCTTGAGCAGCAGCTGAGTAAATTTTGGACCCGTTATGTAAATGTGTGTGAAATAGATGAGCGCGAGTTCTTCGCAGCCAGCGCAGTATCTTCAGTGTCTAATGCAGATTTACGGTGCCTATTGTCTGAGTCCGAGGGTCGCTGGCATTGTTTTGCAAATGCCCGAGGTTCGGCGGTTTACCCTGTTATATGTGCTGTGAATTTCAAATTGTCTGTTTTACTCTTACGCAATTCTTTAAACTTGTTCTTAAACCTTTGCTCTGGAAAACTTTCCGAAACAGAAAATGAAAAAACGTTTTCTATTATTATTTATGTTTTGAGAGATCCATCAGACCACATTTTTTTTTAATCCTAGACAGCCTCAGCTGAGATAAAACGTCAGAATGGAAAGATTAAGGAGGAAATCGACGGCGTTTGCCGTCACGTTTTGGCCTCGTTTCCTCTGCAGCTACCTGTCACCCTGGACCCCTGGGGTTGAAGCATTGATGAAACATCAAGCCTTTGGTTGCTAGGAGTCTGGGGGGGGGGGTCTGCTGGTTTATTGTAACAATGAGCATTCCTACCTAAAGAAACCCACCTTGGAAGTTGTATCACAATCATTAATGTGACTCTTCGGCTCTCGATTTTTTTCTGAACGAAAATAACTTTTTATGGTTTTGGGGAATTTCCAGGTTCTTGCGGAACACTCCCAATTAGCAGGGATAGGAGAATATCCTTCTGTTTTGCGGAGTTCATGACATAAACAGTGTTTTAAAATCAGCGTGTCTAATTGGACTCATCTGGGCCAGTCTGCACAGTGACCTTTTAATTACCGGCGTACTTTGGCGGGAAACCGTTGCCGAAGCAACTGCGATGTTTCGGAACTCCTCTAATTACCTCATTTGAACAAATGAACCACCGTATCGCGGGACCACAATTTTCCCATCGATTGAATGTGGGGGAGTCATTTTCTGGTCTTTCCCCCACCCCAAGCTCATTCAGGATCATTGATGACAATTATTACTGAGCGAGGAGTTAGTTAAGATGGACGACATCACCCACAGACATGAAAATGACAGTCTTGGAGTTTTATGGATGGTGCGCACGGCTTAACTGTCCGGTCCATCGTAGACGTTGGTGCATAATGGGGATGCCAGAAATCGAATCATCGGTCCGTCACGTCGGAGCTCTTTTACGTGACAGGTGCAACAGTGTGGAAATTCGCCATGATTATGTCACAGAGAAACAGGGCGGGGGAGGGACCGCTGGCAGACACTCGCTGTTATTTTTATGTCCTCATTCCAACCCACCACCCCCCCTTACATTTTTAGCTCTTTTCCTCACGCTTGCTGGCCAATTTGTAAAGGGGGGGAGAAGCCCCTGTTCACAGGTGGTGGCGTCCTGATCTGTGACCGACCCAGGAGGATCGTGCACCGCAGAACGAGCTCATGCACCATGGGGCGAACATGCTCATCGCTGCCATCACAGGCGCTTATTTTTAGCACACGTGGACCACGACTCATGCTAATGGAACACGATTTTCAGGTCCCTGTTATTAAACAACAAAAAACACTGAACCTTTTCCGAGGAGAGTGATTTAAAAGAAAGAAAAAAAAAAAAACACCGACGTTTACAGTCAGCCAGAACAAACCCAGAGACCGAGTTCTCAGAAATCGATGTCCGCGATGACGGGCGCCAGGAAAACCACGTTGCGCTGATCAGCATAGAGGATTCCAGATGCGGCTTCTGGCAGGCAGACAAGAAATGGGTGACACGTTAAAAAAAATCAACCGCTCCTGTTGCCAGAGTGTTGCCCATACTATATAAAAAGCCATTTGCTTTATTACAGTACTGGCAGAGGTCTGACAGCAGGTGATGGGTCTGATTTCTTACTAAAATGTAAATGAAATAGTACCTGAAATACTTCCAGGGAAATTTTACAGAGCAATGAGCCATCCATATGCTTCACTTTCATAGTCTGATCACACAAGACATTATATGTACACTTAAAGTTTTGTCTCTGCTCATAAATATTCCTTAACGTGCATGTTACTTAGCTAAAAGGCCTAGCCACAAGGCTACCTGCATTTTATAGAAAAACATCAGTACATGCAGACTTCACACTTGCACAGAGTTGTGGGTGGGACACAGGCCAATAACCTTGGGTGGGGAGGTCTCAGATCTACCCACTGCGTCTCTGTACCACATTTTAATCTCCTATTTCTATGCTTCAGTTTTTGTGTCTCCTTAAGGTCACACAGTTTATTTATTAGAGAAATGCATACATTTTGAGCCTTGTGTTTTACAGGGAAAAATGCTTTATACTTTGTGTATGAAATATTGAAATAAAATAAAATTATACAACATTCCCAAAGGCTTAAGCAGAACATTTCAATCATTATGTGCGTTGTTTATTTTGTACAGCAATTTTTGCTAATTTTCATGAAGGCTGCCATAATTCTTGAGCTGGGTCCAGTACATTCTGTATACTGTGGTATTTACCCTGGTCCTTCAAGAATGATTAAGAAAGTAGGATTTTGCGGTTGTGTTGTGTTGGGAACTGGGAAATATATGCCCTGTTGAGATGTTTAGAGTTCTTGTTAATGGCAGAGGATCTACGAAATGGTTTCACGGGACCCAAAACGGGCAGCCTTACTCACTGGGTACTGAACTCTTCTCTCATGTCAAATTTCTGACCTGTACCTCTTGGTGAACAAGTCACATATGTCAGCGGTAGCTCTCTGTCGTGTGGCTGAAATAGGAATGGAAATTATCGTCTCGGCTGAAGCCAGTGTGATAGGCTTAGGTGAGAATTAGCTGCTTCGAAAATAAATGCACTGTAGGGGCTCTGTGTTGTACTTCAACGAAAATGGAGACAGTGTCAGAATCCAGAGCACTAGAGGTTTACAGATTTGCACACTATTACACTATTACACTTTTCACTTATACCCCATATATACAATATGTGGTGTTGAGTAGAGGATACGGCACGTTGTTAGATAATGAATTACCAGTGTTTACTTATTTAAAAATTTAAAACCTCACATACAAATCAAATCAATGGCAGAGCCAGTGGACAGGCTGGGCTGAAACTTACCACCCCTCCCCCTGAAATCGGATTGACCCCCCACACTGTCCCCCCGATTTCATTGGCTCTGAGTAATGTCAGTCATAAAGCATAGGAAACGGTTGTGCCATACGCATGAAAAACAAGGTATCACAGGCATAAACCAAATCCATACAAAATATCCATCCATCTTTTGTGACCGTTGTCCTGTTCGGGGTCACAGGGAGTCTGGAACCTATGTACCCTGCAATTGTTTCTTAGCTTTATCCCCTATACTGCCTGGGTTTGGCTCCAGACCCGGTACTGGATAAGCCATTGTGAAAGATGTATGGATTAATACAATACGTACTCCACCTTACCTTTGAAGCCATTTGACGTCCTTGTCCCTCATGAACCATATTTCCTATTTTGTCTTTTCTTATTTGATTTTCAGATCCATGTTGCATTTGTACAGCCGACCTGTTACGGTACCGGGAACCTTAAAGCCCACTAGGTGTGTGGCTTATGCTGCCTGTTAACGCAGGATACACCCAACCCCC